TCCTCATTTTTTCAATCTAATTTTTGTAATTTGGCTTTTATAATGGGAAAGCAAATTTGTAATTTTGTAAACATTAAATGCTATTTTTCTGCAAGTTTAAAATTAAATACTATTTTAAATGCCATATGAAGGACTATATATAATTCACTTGCTATGTAAAACTTCCCGTGACTAGCTCAGAGATACTCAACTATAGACTATGCCAGTCAGCATATTTGCAGCTAGTCTCTTACTAAGTGTTCTTTTACTATGACAGTATTTTAGTTTGTTACTTGATTCTATATGCTAAGATATTTATGTTATTCAATTTCTCCCATTCCACACTCAAGAAACCCGGAGCTTCCAGCTGGCAAAAGTGTATCCAAACTAAAACTGCTTATACAAATAAAGCTTTAATGCCTAAGTTTTTCTCTTAGTGGAGTATGTGCTGCAATTAAGATCTGGTAATATTGACTGTTTAATTTATCAAGAAATATAGTTCAGCTGACCCAAAACAAAAAAATTCAGTTATTTTACAATGTATATTAAAGTGTGGTGTACATTATCAAAATAGCAATAATCCTTCAACTTTGTGGAAGCAGAAGAATAGAAGCCCTTTTTTTGAGAATAAATTGGAAATCATAAATGAATTTCCTTTGATTAGGGGATTTACTTATAATTAAAGGAAAAACAGGAAGAAAATCATTTGCATGGTTAGAACCTGAGCTGTAAATTCCTTCTGTGTGCTGATGAGGAAACGATTTATGACCCAAGGAGTGAATGAGTGGTCACATTTTTATAATAATACACCCATTTCAGTAAATATTTTGAGTAAACATTTATACGAAAGTTGTTATATTAGTCTGCTAGGACTGCCATAACAAAATGCCACAGACTAGGTGGTTTAAACAACAGAAATTTATATTCTCATAATTCTGTCTGGAATTCCAGATCAAGGTGTTAGTAGGGATGGTTTCTTCTGAAATCTCTCTTCCTTGGCTTACAGATGGCCTCCTTTTCCCTGTGTCTTCGCGTGGCCTTTTCTCTGTATATGCTTTCTCCTAATGTCTCAGTGTGTCAAAATTTCCTCTTTTTATAAGGACACCAGTCCCTAAAGGCCTCCTTTTAACTTAGTCACCTCTGGAAAGACCCTATTTTCAAGCATGTCACATTTTGAGGTACTGAGAGTTAAGGGTTTCCACATAGGAATTTTGAGGGGATAAGTTTCAACCTGTAACAGTTATGTACATGTTCTGCATGTTGTACATATATCCCCCTACACATTTTGTAAAGATTATATAACATTAAAATACAAGTTATTATATTTACTTCCCAGTCCCAGTGGATTCTCTGCTGGAGTTTGTACACACTGCTTTGGAAGCCTAAAATAATCAAATGAGAGCCTCAGCTAACTAGCTACTCACCTTACTCACCTGAAGTCCAAGTCCAAGATTGCCTGTAACCATGGTTTGTTCTCTTGCTTTGAGGGCAGGTTTCTCTTGTGTTTTTCTGCCATCCTAATGTTCTCTTAATGCCAGACTGTGTTATTACAAAGTCTGTCTGCCTTTTGACCCATAAACCTCTATATCAGTGGTTCTCAACCTTCCTAATGCTGTGACCCTTTAATACAGTTCCTCATGTTGTGGTGACCCCCAACCATAAAATTATTTTTGTTGCTACTTCATAACTTTAATTTTGCTACTGTTATGTTTTAGGCGACCCCTGTGAAAGGGTCGTTAGACCCCCAAAGGGGTTGTGTCCCACAGGCTGAGAACCACTGCTCTATTGAACATGAAAGTTTTTGAGAGATGTTTTATATAAATATGAAAATTCATAAAATAGTACAGGAGATGGTTATAAAGTGTACTTATTCTGAAACATTTCTTAGACCAAATGACTTAACAATAAAATTGCTGAGATATATAAAAAATTATTTTCCTGTTTAGCAGTAAGTTCTTATTAAGATGCTTTATTCTAGACAGTGAATGTGCTTTGTAGTTTAAGCATATTCAGAGAACCAAATGGTATTTTAGTTAAGCCAACTGTAGTAAGCTGATATTTTGAAGGGAGACATTATATGTGCACACATATAACTATAAATACATATGCACTCACAGCAAGAGCAGACAAACTCCTCTATCATTTCTCTACTTACTAGAGGAAAGGAAAGTATTCAGACTACCACTTTCTGATGGTGAATAAACAAATATAAGAACCTAGAGGAAAGAAACCATTTTTTCCAAGATGGTGCCAATGACCACATCACTGCTGAGCATTATCTTTGTGCCCTTATCAAGAAGGTATCCAAGATATCCAAGATTACTGTCTCCCTGTTTGTGTATTATTCAGGTTAATTAATTTGACTATCTGCTTTGGAAATAAAAAAAGATGGATAATATTTTTTTAAAAGATGCTTTAATAAAAGATACTTTATCCTTTCAGTTTCTTATCTCATGTCTGCAGTGGTTTAAAACAAGTTTACTTTTAACAGTTTTATTTTTAAAACTTAATGTAGAGTTTTGTTTATTTTTCAGTAGCTACGTATTTGGTATGGGGTAGGGAAAATCTAACATTCTCATGATATACTAATAGTGATTCTAAATAGATGAATGGGTTAAATATTAAAGATTAAACGGTAAAAAAAAAGGGAGGAGGGGAGCCCTGGCTGGTTTGGCTCAGCGGTTAGAGCGTCGGCCCATGGTCCAGAGAGACCCAGGTTCAGTTCCTGCTAAGGGCACATACCTCGGTTGCAGTTTGTCCCTGGCCCTGGCTGGGTCGTGCGGGTGGCAACCACTTGATGTGTCCCTTTCATGTCCATGTTTCTCTATCTTTCTCTCCCTCCCACCCTATCTGAAAAAAAAGAAAGAAAAAAAACCTTTAAAAAAAAAGGGAGGAGGGGAGAAACAGAAGTAGCTTACCTCTGTGCAAAGAAATTTCTAAGCCTGAAAGCAATGGGATTAATTAAAAACAATTGTATAAAAATTTAAAATATTTTCACACAATGTGTTTGTAGGAAAAATTGGGAGAGTACTTGAAATGTGATATAGTTAACATCTCTAAGATATATATAAATAAAAGTAGTACTAAGACATTTGTAGATCAGTGGACATAAGCAGATAATTTATGAAAGAAATATAATTACTAATAACACTTGAAAACCTACCCAAACCAAGGACAGAAAAAATTATAAGATTATCAGATGTGCAAAGATTCATGAGCAAAAATGTTTATCAATAATAGAGAGAACTAGTAAGTATAATAACCTCCATACCTTCAAATACTTGGAACTTCTAGAGATTATGTATACGAAAAGTCTTAAGAAAATGCTTATGAAAACAGAAGAAGATATATTTTATATACTGTTTGATCAACTTTGAAATGCATAAAATTAGAGAAATATGCCAAAATGTTCATAATGATGATCTCTAGTGGCATTATGCTTAATTCTTATTCTCATGGGCTTTAAACATATTTTTCTTTAATGTACATTAGTTTATTTAAAATTAAAAAATAGAAATATGCTAAAAGAGTCACAAAACAATATAGAACTAATATCTGTTTCCAAGCATAACACATGCCCTTCTCCTAGTAGAAATATAGTATATATGATTTCTAATAACTCCTTTAAAGTATTTTATATTTACATTGTAACATACTACCATATTAATTCAATAAATATAATACTGTGTAAGGCCACAAAAAATTATATGAAATCTCTACATACAAAAGCTGTAGACTAATGGGTTTTCCCTAAACATCCAACAAACTGAAGGCATTGAATCATTTCACTTCTTAATACTGTATTTTCTTTCTCACCAAATCTAAATTTATTTTTAAATTACCGGAGAACTGTTTAAATAAATAATATTAAGCTTCAAATCACATTAGTGGTAATAACATTTATTTGTTTACATGGTCTCAAGTTTTGCACCTATAGTATAGTATGCACCTACACTGATATTTTGAGTGTCAAGGGTCTCAGAATGATGATGCTCATTAAATATTAGGGATCGAATTAAGCACTGATTTTCCCTAACAAGTTGCTGATTGCTGTTACAGGAGAGTAACTAGAGTAACATTAAAAGAGCAAATAAACTGTTGCTATCGGAATGGGTGTGATAACTCCTGAGAACCAGTAATACCGCCCCTAGTAAAGGTGGGTGAGGTGGCCAGTGTGTAGGGTCATTTTGATCTTAAGGCATTTGGTAGCAGAACTTGATAATCAAAGATTGTGATAGTGAAAATAATACACAGCAGCAGCAAACATTTGGGCCTTTACCGTTTCCTAGCCTCTGTGCTGAGCGCTTTACTTGTTTATTTCAATCAATTTAATCATTTAACCCTCCCCACTAAAAGAGAAAGATTATCCCAGTGGGCCATCTCTAGGAAATATGACAATTTCTTTTTCATCAGACACATCCTTTTATCCCGAGTTCTGAATGTCTGGGCTGAAGGAGGGGGGGGGGGCTGTCATAAGAGTTGGTAGATTAATTCAGCAACTAGTTTCACCTCTGAAACTATTTCAGAACAATATTTATGCAACAGAACCTAATAGTGACAAAGATTTCCATTCCTTTACGGAGCCCCAGGAACACGAAAATCTGAGACAGCTCGGCGCGCCGCGCTGGTTTCGGAGGGCCATCCGCCCAAGGTCAGGCCACGCCCCCGGGCTAGGCACCGCCTCCTTTAGCCACGGACAGAAGTAGCTTCTCGAGTGCCTCTCGCGGGGACCTGGGCCTGCTTGGCGAGATTTGGGTGACGCAGGCAAATCAGTATCTCGCGAGAAATTGAGGCGAAAGTACGGCAAGGAAGGGAATTCCGGTGAAACTCGGAAGCCTGGCTGTTCTTTTGGTTCTAAATGTTGGATCGTGTAGCCCTCTTGTTTGGCCTCTCCTGGCGAGATGATGTTGTCCCCGGTGAGGGTTGGGACCAGCCGGGCGCCTCTGACTGAACCAGACGCTGATTTGAGAGCGGAGGGAGGGAGGGGGTTGCGATGAGGGCGTTTGGGGATCTCCGGTTCCTCTGGCTTAGCTGTCCAACACCCTTGCTCGTGACCGTGGTCTGAGGTGTTTTTCCGAGACCCTCCCCAGATAACCTGTGTGTTTGCGGCGGGCTTCAGTCCTGCCCCTGCAGCTGTGAGCGGAACGCCGGCCCGCGGGCTGGGGCGGGTGGCCAGTGCTCCGGCCTGGGAGCTTGGCGCAATGCCTGCTACGTGGCTGACCCTCCATGAGCTTTTCTTGGAGGAGTAAAAAACAGAATTGCAAGGGAGTCTCTGAGGAAACCAGAGTGACTTCTAAATGAAGTTTATTTCGGAATAATTCTACATTTACAAAAATGTTGCAAAGGTAATAGACTTCCCATGTGCTTGTCACCCAGTTCCCCGATGTCGACGTCTAAAGTGACTTAGTTCAGTTGACTTTGTTCCTTTGACTCCCTGAAGTTGACTTTCTGTGTTAACACCACTAGATTCTTCATTTACCATTGCTTTACATTTAAGCAGTAATCATTTGGAGAAGTACTTTTTAAAATAAGTGGGGACTGATAATACAGTTTACTTATGTGTTAAGTAGTGTTCCTATTTCAAGAACTAGTGTTATCCAAAGTGTTCTTAAGAAAAAAGACTGCTAATGTTGAAGTTCAATAAATTTGTAGTATCAGAGTGTGTCAGCAATTTTTCCTTATCATCATAGCTGAAAGCAAAATCAGAGAGGAAGCTTGCAAAACAGATTTGCAAAGTTGTATTGGATCATTTTGAAAAGCAATATTCCAAAGAACTTGGAGATGCCTGGAGTACAGTAAGGTTAGTATAATTCTCTTGATGCTTTATGATAGAATAAGAAATAAACCTTTTGTGGGAGGGGTTGCTGTGAGGATAAAAGATAAAGGAATCTAAACCTGGCTGCCGTTCTCTACCATGGCGACAGAAGGGAAGAACTAGGAGGAAATAGATTAAGTCATAGGAACATAGAAAGGGGAGATTAAAATTAGTGATATTAAACAAAAATTGTATACCCTTGCCTTGAGCTTTGAAACAGGAATGCCCACCAGTTTGACACGAATAATTATACTGTAACAGAAAAATCTTTAGGCTTTTGAGGATATTTGACTAGTTTCTGAAATAAAGAAGATAATACAGCAGATCTTTAAACCCAGCACTGCTTTTTATCTTAAAGTCACTTTTGGTAATCATATTTCTTCCCTGTCTATGGCTAGGTATGTTTTGCTCACACACACACACACACACACACACACACATTCTTTAAATGTATTATTGAAAACAAATAAGCATTTAATCCATAAAATTAAGTGAGGGAAGTTTGATTTATATGTTTAGTTTTTCCTTTTTGTCAAATGTTTCTCTGTGGGCTCTTCACACTGAGTTCCTGATACAGCAGGATAGGCCCTGTGTTCAGTTTGCTTTTAATCTGGTATTTAGAGGGCAGGGGAGAAGCATGATTCCATAAGTATCCTGGTAGAAAGAGGCAGGAGTTCCTGGTCTTACCTAACAAAGCTTGATGGTCCATAAAGGCCTGAAGAGAAGTGAGGTCTTGCTGACTTATCAGAGTTACCTTGGCAAAAGGAGCCAGGCATTTTAGGATGAGGGAAGAGTGTATCCTGCTTGTGGAGTTAGGGGCAAAAACCCAGTACATTATGCTCAGGGAAGAAAAATTACATACATGGCTATAGACAATATCTGGAACCTGATAAGATGGTTGTCTTACTCATCTCTTAATGGGTCAACTTAAATATTTCTTTACTTAGGACAGTTTAAAGCGCTTTTTAATTTATTTTATTTTATTTTTTTGATTTTCTCAGTTTTTATTTTTACTTTTTTATTTTAATTTTTTTTCTTTTTTTTTAAACAGGAGACATTTTTTATTAATTTTTGTTACAGATGTTTCTCCTTTTCCCCCCACTGATTCCCCCCTCTCCCTCCTTCCCTGCCCTTTCCCCAGTTTGTTGTCCATGTCCACTGTTCATGCATACATGCATATAAGTTCTGTGGTTTATCTCTCCCCCACCACCCCCTCTTCTGGGGATTGTCAGTCTGTACCCCACTTCCACGTCTCTGGGACTACCCCATTCCTCAGACTGTTATGTTCATTATATTTCACAAATAAGTGAGATCATATGAAATTTGTCTTTCTCTGTTTGGCTTATTTCACTTAGGATGATACTTTCCAGGTTCCTCCATGTCGTCTCAAAGGATAAGAGATCTTTCTTACTGCTGCGTAGTACTCCATTGTGTATATGTACCACAGCTTTTTTATCCATTTGTCTACTGATGGACACTTGGGCTGTTTCCAGATCTTAGCTATTGTAAATAGTGCTGCCACAAACATGGGGTACATATATTCTTTTTGATTGGTGTTTCAGGCTTCTTAGGGTATATTCCTAGAAGTGGGATCACTGGTCAAATGGCAGTTCAGTTTTTAATTTTTTGAGGTAATACCATATTGTTTTCCATAGTGGCTGCACCAGTCTGCATTCCCACAAGCAGTGCACTAGAGTCCCCTTTTCTCCACACCCTCGCCAACACTTGTTGTTTGATGATTTGTTGATGGCGGCCATTCTGACAGGTGTGAGGTAAAGCACTTTTTTAAAACAGAGATTAAGTCTTGACTAGTAAAGTCTTAGGTGATTCTGAGATCATTTCAGGACAAATTAAGTTGTTTTTGTAACTTGCAAATACTGTGATGTCAAAATGTAGTTTATTGTTGTGGTTTTTATTTCAAAATGGGTATTTTCTGTCACAGAGGAGAAATGAGAAAGAAGGAATAGTGAACAGTAAATTCATGAGTTTTTCAGTAGGCAAAGGCACTCAAAATAACCAGATAACCAAATTCCTATTGCACGCCTATTATGTGCCACCCAATACTAACTTTTTGTGATCTTTGGGATAAACCTATAAGGTTTGTTTCCCATTTTTCAAACCTGAGGAAACTGCACAGAGTTAAAGTAACTTTCCTAAATTCATTCATCCAGTAAGTGGCCCAGCTGAAATTTGTGTCCAGGCTCTCTGGTTCAAGAACTCTGACCGCTGCCTTCTATTCTATATCCTCTCATACTTGTGATGAAATTAGGCATACATGGATGGTTAAAAAAAAAAGATTTCAAGAGTTATATTGTCTTCAGACTATCTAGCTACCCATACCCTGTAATGAATTATTTTTGTATTTAATGTGCTCAGACTAATTTGAAATTATTACTTGACCCTAAACAAAATGAGCAGTGAACCTCAAATCCATTTAATTAGCTGTGCCTTCTGCTTCATCTACCTTTTTGTCGGGTTTTCATGGTAATTTAAGTTTTGCATAAACATGTGCTAAATTTGCCATAGGCAAAATAAAGGCTTTCTCAGCTTAGAAAGTAGTCTGACCATGGAAAATAGCGTGGGGAAATAAAGAACAGAAATATTTTTGCTTTTTAACTGTTTATTTGCAGGACAATACTGTTTGCAATCTAGTTTGCAGAATCTACTTCCAGGGAAATACAAGTGTATTTTGGTTCTACCTAGAAAATCATTTACTCAGTATTTTCAGTTTCCTGTGGTAGAAGAGAAGATTTAGTATTTATTTTAATTTTATTGTTTTGTTTTAACTGTTCTTACAAAGTCACCCTCTGAGCAGCCCTTTAAAGGTGGAGTTTGCCCTGGTTTCATGTGTTCTCCTTCAGTGAGCCCCACCGTGGCATGGCCTTAAACTTCCCTCAGTAGGCTGTCATTTCAAGCTGTGCAATCCTTCCCAAGCTTCAACCCCATACTTCTCTGAGTGTTTTCTGGTAACTTCACTTAGTCTTATACCAGGCAAACTCAAAAGCATATTATTTGTCCTTTCCAAACCTATGTTGTTATATGCTACTTGCATACTTTATCTCAATTGAAGGCATCGCCATCAATCTAGTTTCTTCTCTTTTCCACACCTTCACTACCTTTGTAAAGAATGGCCACTACTCAAATACAGGTCTGGCATTTGCTTTAGCTCCTTGGAGGTGGTCTCTAAACCTTTGGCATGTCTTGCCTAACTGTGTCTTTGTTTACCTGAGGGCTTGGGCCACATAGGAATGTCTAACAGTATGATTTATGGTGAGGGCTATGGACTACAACATCAGCTTGGCCTGTGACCTTTGACCTCCAACCTCCAGAGGGGCATGAGACTAAAGATTAGCCACATGGGCTGTCAATCATCTTTGTATTGCTGAGCCCCAATTAAATGCAGACACCAAAGCTCTGGTGAGCCTCCATAGCTGGCAGTACTCCTGTGTGTATTATCACACATATTCTGTCCATGTTTCCACTGGAGAGAACAACAGGAAACTTCATGCTTTGAACATTTCTGTACTCTCAGGCATCTCTTACCTTGAGTGATTTTAATCTGTATCTTTTTGCTGTAATAAACCATAACCATGACTATAACAGTGAGTTCTGTGTCCTCCTAGCTAATAAGTAAACCTGAAAGTGGTCTTGGGGGTCCTGAACTTGTAGTTGGAGTCAGAAGTTAGGGTGGTCTTGGGGATTCCCCTGTGTACTACCACATACCACTATCCTGTCCCCATCAAAATCTAAATGCCCACCAAATACTTCTGTGTTTCTTAATTTGGACCTCCTTTTATCTCCACTCTTTTTTTTTTTCTTTTTTTTTTATCCTCACCCGAGGATATTTTTCCATTTTTTTGTACAGATAGAGTGGGAGGGAGAGAGAGGAAGGAGAGAGGGAGAGAAACATCGACGTGAAGGGACACATCGAGTGGCTGCCACCCGCACGACCAACCAGAGCCGGGGACAAACTGCAACCGAAGTACGTGCCCTTAGCGGGAACCGAACCCGGGTCTCTCCGGACCACAGGCCGACGCTCTAACCGCTGAGCCAAACTGGCCAGGGCTTATCTCCACTCTTACTACTAGTTAGGCCTCATCATTTCTTACCTGGCATATTGCAACAACCCCTCTCCACAGTCTCCCACCTTTGTTATTTATTCGTTTGCTTCTTTTAGCAAGAACTTTTATGGTTCTATTGGCCAGGCAATGTCTCAATCACTTTACAAATAGTAACATAATCCCCTGTACAACCCTCTGGGGTAGTTATTATTTCCATTTTATAGATAGGAAAACTGAGTCATACAGAGCTTAAGCAACTTGCCCAGGAACATACAGCTCACACGTGGAAGAGGCTTGGGAGTATGTATGACCCACTCTGTCGTGCTATTTCTTAATGCAGCCATATTCCATTGTGTCACTCATGGAGCGCAAGCCTCCTTTGCACCCCTGCTATTTGCAGTGTTATGTTGGGACTAAACATCTTATCATGACTAGACAGGCTCCTTTATCCCTTAGGGACTGGATATGC